CGCGGGCCAAGCATGGGGAAACTTGGGCAACTTTTGGACCGGTGCATCAGGATTTTACAAGTGGACACAACATCGACTTTGCGGGAACACGGCCCATTGCGATGGCATCGAACAACTTTGAAAAACCCTTTATAGAAGCTCTGCTGATTCAAGCCTCGGATGATTTACGAATAAATCGCTACTATTGGCCAGAAATATCAAAAAGATGGATTAGCCCACAGAGAAGACTTTTAAGGTCAAAGCCATTTATATCCAAAATAGGGGAACAAAGTTTCATTTCGTTAGTACCTTTGAGTACGAAAGGGCAGATAGTCAAGGCCAAGCTTACCGACGGTAATTAATATTCGCATACCATCAAACTGCTGAGACGTTCACTTATAAAAGTAAAGGAATTGGTGATGAATGCTGAAAACTGCAACCGAAACCTTGACCCATCAAAGTAGTTGTCATGTGTAATATTTTAAGTGATATATTTTCCCTCGCTGTGTTAATTAATATTACGTACGGGTACATACGGTCTTTGCGGATATCTTTTCGTAACGTACGCATAGAAAGCATCCCCCCCTTTTCCCCGCGGCGCCAGTGCGAAATGGAGATAGATTAGTATTTTGCGCTAAGCTTCGTTCTTTTAAACAATATAAAGTATAAAGAGGCAGTAAATGAAAAGATGTCGCTCACTAGGATACCAACAGGCATGTATATCTTGTTTCACGCACATTATTTTTAAAATACATTAGCTAAACCTTGCCATGCACCTTTAGTAAAAAACAACAAGTGCCAAAAATCACATTTCGCCTAGTTTCTCCATTTTTAGTGTCCAATAATAGCAACAGCGAAGTATTCAGACGTTGAGTAAAAAGTAGAAGCGGAAGTATACAATCAGGTAAAGCGCAGGATGGTAAAGACTGACCGAATTAAGATCACCTAAGCGCTGCAAAAGAGGCAACACTAAGCCTTTGTCAATTACCCCTGCATACTTGACTTGACTTCGGCCTGTGGAAGTAAAGCAACAACCTTTTTTACTGCATCGTCCATATCGCGTGCAGTAGTCACTGGAAGTCGTCCAGCTGAAAGCACGTTTAACGCGTTCTGAGCGTTGGTTCCTAAAACTTTTTTACGTTAGTTCCTAAATCAAATCTGGACAGCCAACAGGTTGTCATTTACAAGACTATCCAACAGAGAGTGGCAGTTGAAAAGAAACAACGACAAGAATGCAAACAACAGTGTGCTTCGATAAAAAGTCAAATGTGAAAGTTTCCCGTATGTTGAACAATTCCGCCGCTGCTTGAGGACGTCTCTTACGGTAAACAGCAGACGTACTATCAAAATGCAGGGCTCGAAATATTAACATCTTTCGAAATATATAATTTGCATGGGGTAGTATACTCTGGTAGAAATTCTAAACCCAATGCGCATAACATAACTGCCGCGCAAAATAGTTATGAAGTTCTTTATTTGTACGTTGGGGATCACCAAACCCTGCTTAAGTGGCTAATTAACACAACCTAAACTAAACAGCAGTGGGGAACAATCGGTTACTGATATTTGGTCAGGGTATCAGACATATTAAGGTATTAACTCTGGCATTACTCCTAAGGGAAATGCGTTCTTTCGCCAACATCTACCCAAATGAACGACACTTGTGCAATTAGATGAATCGCCCTGAATAAATTAGTGAAACATACTGATACGCCTTAGCCCCGCTATCTTCGGATGAAGAATTAATTTCAGCTGCTTATGTCATTAAACCAAAATAAGAGAATTTAACGTAAAACAGTCATTAGCATAAAACAGCAATCGCCTACCCTCAGAATTCGACTTAAGAAATTATGAACTTGAAATCGTTCGGCGTACCAAGGGCCCTGCAGTACTGACACAAGCGGCAGGCGCAGAGCTGCCTTATCTGGCGATGCTGTGTTGTTGGTAAAGAGGATCCTGACCACATTGCCCTTGAGAATCAGACATTCACAGTAGGATACTATCGTCACATTCATGCTACGATCCATATGCTAGCCATGGTCACAAGGACGAAATAGCTGGCTTGATCAGGCCTACGGATAATGGAAAAGGTTAAAGTTGCCATTGCTAACTACTGGCTATGGGTAACATGTGCAGTTGTCCCAATGATCACTATGGCTTACAGCTACAACGGTCGAGAGTCGATATTTGTGTTAACGTGGAATATTTGTTTAGAAACTTGCCGCACGTCGTCTAGAGAAAAGAACTGACTTAGTTGAGCAACAAACCAATCAGGTAGCCTGGGCAGCCTGATTAAAGCTCTATATGAGGTTCTTACTCACTTCAAAATCATGCTATTCAGATCATGATCTCTAGAGCTATCGTTAGGGGTCAGCTTAAGGCATAAATTTCAGAAAATCTAGTTAGGCTACTGAAAAACACCCTAGTCACATAATATAGCGTCATGTTACATTGCAAGGTACATCAATTTAAACCTGAACATAACGGTCACCGTTTTACCTTCCAATCTGACCACTATTGGCAGTGCCATCGCAGAGGAACCCAAAGTTTCCTCCAAAGCTTTAGCGACCACCTCGCAATCAACTATTCCGCCGAAGATATTCACCAAAACCGCCTTGACCTAAAATAGGACGAATCATTTGCAAAATATCCCATAAGCAGTAGTAGAGTCAATTTTTGGTAAGCTGAAATCAGTTACTTTTAGTTGAACAAGCCTGGAAAACGTAAACAAGAAATTTAAGAAATTAAATAGTTTTACTTCTAAGGCATATCATAGGCTAACGCTAAAAAGTGTTTATTTTAATGATCAGAGGCAAAAAGTAAAAAATTTTAACACTTAAGTCGAAGATCAGTACTTTGGTTGAGATCATTATTTTATTGAAGGCAAATCAAGCCCTTAATATGTGTTAAAAGGTATATTCTACAAAAATACTCTGGTTAGAAACTCAGAGGACATGCATGATGGGCCATCGTCGTAAGCACGAAGCCGTTTTGAGCAGCTTCTCTTGCAACATACTTTTAAAGCAAAGAATTTCTTATGTACGTTTCAATGTATGCATACATGTAGGCATGCAGGGTAACGTTCATCTGTAAACCTATTCGACTTAGAAAGCTGAATCACCTCGTCCTCTTCTAATCAGCTGTCTGTTTCCGATACCAGAAAGTCGCGCGAAGTAAAAACCTATACGAAGTCATCTGGAACCCTGGAAGAAAGTGAAAAATATTTAATTTTGTTTTGCAAATAAAGCTTTCGAGCCAATTTCTAAGTAGAGATACAATATACACATCTAATGCAAAATTCTGATCAAAGGACATCTCATCTGCGACGAAAATAAACCGCTTCAGAAATAAATTTAAAAGACAGTCCTCATCTCCAACCATTGGTTTTTTGATTCTTCAGCCATGGGCACAAGGAGCGACGATGAGGCAACGATCAAATAGTTAGTAATCACTAACTAATTATGAATAATATGCAAATTAATAGCGGGATATTAAATGAACAGCATTTTCACGTGAGGACCTGACATTAAACCCTGAAAAGATCAGCTAACGATCCAATAGAAACTCAGAAGTCAACATACCTTTTCCCAGCAAATATGTTCTTGAGAAGAAAACTATGAATTTAGTGATCTGGCTACAATCTGAATTAATCCCAGAAGAAGGCATGTATGCAATCTTTTCACAATGCAGTCTCTTTCGGAACAGTACATAAAGATTCATGGAGCCATCGATCGTACAACTGTCCTCTGTGGTTAGATTATTCACCTATCAGACAAACCGCACTCAACGTAATGCAGGAAAGGGTTCTTCAAGTCATCAGTTTCTACGGTTTTGATAATTAACCTCTTTGAGGTCTGTAAAAGAAATTTCCGGCTATCCAAATATTACAAAGAGTATAGCTTAATGGTATATCAGTAGCAGTCAATCCGAATATCAGTGCGGAACTGAGGGCACTGTTTCGCACGCCACAACGTGGACATCGAAGTTAGCATTATGGATCCAGAATTGATTATTAAATCATTTAACATTCGATCAAAAAGAACGTACGTTTTTGTCACAGGCAATAATTCTGAAAGCGTTAGAGATCTGCTCTTTCATCGCCATGCCACCGACATCAAGAAAGTTAGCCGGAAGCGCCCCTTGCTGGCTGATCAAGTCCATCGTAGCCATCGCCAGACCGGCTCCGTTGACCAGACAACCGATGTTGCCGCTGAGACGAATGTAATTGAGGTGGTTTTGTTCAGCCATTTTTTCAAGCACATCCTGATCCACTTCTTGACCGTAGGCGAATATGTCTTGGTGGCGAAAGGCGGCGTTGTCGTCGAACTGCAGCTTTGCGTCGATGCAATACACTGATGAAGCGTAAACGTATAAAAAATAAAATTTATAATGAGCAGAAGCACAACATACTGTTCTTGAAACTGACTTCTCGATCATGTACCTGACTAATGATCAGATACCTTCTTCTCAATCCATGGTACAACATATGAATATGACCATAAAATTTAATACAACGCGTTTAGTGACAATACATCCTGATAGTCTTACTGGATATGCCGGAAAAAACGCAGTGAATTAAACATATTTTGTTAATACTTCATATTATGAACAGAGAAGGAAAAAGTGAATGCTCAGAACATTTCTGAAACTCATTT